AATGAATGAATGAATGAGGGAGGGAGGGAGCTGGAAGGGACCTTGAGGGTCTTCTAGTCCAGCCCCCTACTCAAGCAGGAGGATTTCCCAACTTGGACAACTTGAAGATGTGGACGTCAACTCCCAGAAACCCCCAGGTTCACTCATTAAAACATCACTTAAAACATGCTGGCTAAAGAATTCTGGAAATTGAAGTTCATATTTCATAAAGCTTGCTGGCTGGGGAATTCTGGGAATTGAAGTTCACACATCTTCAAGCTTACTAGTTGGGGAATTCTGGGAGTTGAAGTTTATACACCTTAAAGCTTGCTGGCTGGGGAATTCTGGGAATTGAAGTTCACACATCTTCAAGCTTACTAGTTGGGGAATTCTGGGAGTTAAAGTTTGTACACCTTAAAGCTTGCTGGCTGGGGAATTCTGGGAATTGAAGTTCACACATCTTCAAGCTTACTAGTTTGGGGAATTCTGGGAGTCGAAGTTTATACACCTTAAAGCTTGCTGGCTGGGGAATTCTGGGAATTGAAGGTCACACATCTTCAAGCTTACTAGTTTGGGGAATTCTGGGAGTCGAAGTTTATACACCTTAAAGCTTGCTGGCTGGGGAATTCTGGGAACAGAAGCCCATGTGTCTTAGCGTTGCCAAGGGTGGAAAACCTGGTCCAGAGGAACACGAAGATGCAAAGCCAAAAGCACATTGGGTGGAGGGCACAAGGCTACATGTGAGACCCACCAAGGGATTGGCGGTTTCTAGTAGGGGCAGATTCCCAGCCAAGCTGTAACTTAGGCAAAGTTTCACCACATTAAAGTCCATGCTGGGAAGTGGAGAAAATAGACGTAGAATGTCAGTTTGGTCTCGGGATTAAGGTACCGGGATTAAGGTACCGGGATTAAGGTACCGGGAGGCAGAGAGTTCTAGTCCTGCCTTAGGCATCGTCAGCAGGAGACTTTGAGTTCGAATGCCACTTTAGCCACAAAATCCAGCTGTGAGTTATTTGAGTTATTTGTAAAAATGATAATAGAAGTGCCATGCAAATAAGTGAAAAGGAAAGAGAGAGAAAAGAAAGAAAGGGAAGAGAGGAAAAGAAAGAAAAAGAGAGGGAAGGAGGGATGAAGAAAGGAAAGAAAGAAAAAGAAAAAAGAGGGAAGAAAGAAAGAGAAAGGGATGGAGGGAAGGAAGAAAAGAAAGAAAGAAAGGAGAAAGGAAAGAAGAAGGCAGGTTATCTTGATTCCTCAACAATTTTTCATGAACAAGAAACAATTTCATTTAAATGCACAGGTCTGTGCCCGCCCCCCCCCCTCCCGCATACACACACACACAAACACACACACACACACGTGTCTGGAAAACTTCATAGGCTGAAGATTTTGGTTTAAAAAAAAGGACTTCACCTGCCACTCGGTGTTTTCCATACACTGGTTCGGGACTTTATTAATATATTAGCAACCTCTTGATTTTTTTCCAACCAGGATTCAGGGTTTGCGAAAACCCTCTGTTCTAGGATGTGCTGCTAAAGATGTTGCGTTTATAGCGATTTTGCAGAATGAAGAAGGAGGCGAGAGCTGCGTTCGTTTACCGTAGCCCAAAATCAGAATAAGCCAAATGTGTTCCTTTTAATAAAACCGTGTTTAGTCGGAAAAGGCTGTCGTCACAACGCCTTCTGATTTACAGCAAGCGTGTTTATTAATATCCTACAGCTTGCAAGTGTTACTTGTGTAGGGGTTTTTATCCCGTTTAGATTCAGGCTTTGCCCTATGAGCCAAGGTGGCGCAGTGGTTAAATGCAGCACTGCAGGCTACTGCTAGATCAGCAGGTCAGCGGTTCAAATCTCACCGGCTCAGGG